GATCCCCAGGAACATATGGGAAACTGTGGGAAGTGGGGGGGGAGACAAAAACCCAGACTTGGCATCGCTCGGACGTGTTCATTTTTCCTTCGGCGAGGATTATCGAGAAGCATCTCTGATCATTTGGCGAAAAAAACACGCACGAAACCGAAACAAAAACACAGGAAATGGACGTCCGAGCGATGGCCAGAAGAAAGTCAGAACCTTTGAGGCAAAGCTTAGGCAACTCCTTGAAGAAATTGATACGATCGGGCCGAGGTATAAGATCGAGGTCGGCTCGGGGAGGGTGCACTGGTGTTCTTCGTATCTGCTGAAAGCTCTTGTGCATCCTGGGGGAAGGTACCCTCGAGGGTCCTTCAGTCTGGCAGGCGGAGGGCCTCATGTTCTCGAAGAGTGCTCTTCTATCCTTGGTCCGGCTGTAATGGGTCGGCCCATGGTAGCCATGGCGTTCTGTCGCAGGGGGGATCGCGCTGTCGGAAGAGGTCCCACACGTCTGCCGCTGGTTGCCTGTGTGGAGGACCTCCGTCCAGCGGGTCGGGCGCTGCGCTCCACCTCCGTGCGACTGCTTCGGCGGCTTCCCTATTGTGTTCCGCAAAGACCGGTTTTCTAGGGTGCCAAGGTCCTTGTTTGTCAATGTCCCTGTTCACGGGGCCCTGAGAGCCAAACACTGCTTGGTCCTTCAAGAATGCCAACAGGTGGCGTCATTGGGCCAGCTTCGCCTCCGGCGAGACCAGTGAGTTCCGAAAGATCAGGGGGCCAAAGGCGATCTCCTGGCACGCGGACCTGCCCCTCTCCGAGCATGCGGCCTGGACGGACCCTAGCACGGATTGGGCATGCCTCACCTTCGGGGTGAAGGCCAACGACAGCAGCAGCCCAGACATAGCCAGGCTCACCGGTTGCCATCGGCCTTCCCTGCTGCCACCGGTGGAGGCGCCGAGCAACATCACCCTGTGCTACACAGCGCCGCCGTTTGTCAATCCGAACGTGCCAGAAGCGAACGGGTTCTATGGTTAAGTCGGGCATGTCACTCTACAGGAAGAATATTCAAGAATAGTCCCAAAATAGTAAGGTGACGATGTTTCGCGCTCTTATCATCATATAAAAAGTATAGGTTAACGATCTTTCATTTTCCTTCCAAGATCCGCCTGTAGGCGGACATGCCCGACCTAATTCTATGGTCTCGCGCAAAACATTCTATATCACTTGCGCCACGGCGTTGATCAGGTGATCGTCTACCTGAACTCGGAACATCAGGACCTGGGGCTTGCGCTGCTCGCGCCCTTCCTGGCGCGGGGGGTCTGCTCCGTGGTTCTGGTGGATGCCGAGCACCCGTACCAGGAGCGCAACCAGAATGATTGCCTCAACAGACTCAAGGGCCGCTCCAGGCTCTACCGAGGCATAGACTTCGACGAGTTCCTCTACGCCGAGCGCTGGTACAAGAACTGGCGTTGGGCTGCTGACGGGGCGTCATTGGCGTGGGCGTTACGGCGGCTGATAACCACAGAGCTCTACGACTACCTGGACCTGGGCGATCATATGTGGATAAAGCCAGCAGACACCTTGAGCCACCTTCTGACGGACACCCGTTACCGCGTCAAGGACTGGGACAGAGCCCACAAATGCATCGTCAAACCCGAGCGCATCGCCCACGACTGGATTCACGAGCCCAACCGGTGCGCCTTGAACCGGACGCACTTCCGAAGCCTGCTCGCATGCAACAACATCGGTGGTCATAGCGTCCTCTACGCTCACGTCAAGAAGAGGTTCAACAGCTCCGAGATCAGTGCCATGCACGCAGGTGTGAGCGGCCCGCTGACGTACGACGACCTGTTCGCCAACGAGACGGTCCTGCTCCGCGAGCAGCTGTGCTCCTGGCTGGCGGAGTCGGGCGAGAGCTGCCACCCCTCGGATTGGCTGCCGTCTTCCCGTGCGGCCCGCGGGCGAGCGCCGCAAAAAGAAGGAGGGATGATATCATGCGGCTGGCTGTTCGTGTGAATTTCGAGTAGGCTTGGCATCGCTCGGACGTGTGCATTATTTTTTCTTCGGCGAGGATTATCGAGGAGCATCCCTGATCATTTGGCAAAAAAACCACGCACGAAACAGAAAAAACACAGGAAATGGACGTCCGAGCGATGGCCAGGTAGGGGATCGACTACAGAATTGATGTTGTACCCCAGAATTTGTTTTCTCGTCGAACACACGAGAAAGACGACGTAGAATAGTCAGTAGATCTACGGGGCAGTCTACGTGTTGTTTCTCATGGGCTCGACGAGAAACTTATATTTGGAGTGCATCGATTATGTAGTCGATCTCATACTCGAGAATTCGGGTTGTCCGCGATGCTAGGTCACCCGCAGGGGCGCGAGAAGAATCGCGCATCGCGGTCTTGGCCGTAGAGGTGTTGCCGAAGACGCTTATGGCGCGTCACCGCCGCCTCCTGCATTTCTGGGAACGTCGATGTGGCCAACCGTTGCGCCGAAGTCTGACCAGGCTGTTGGCCTCTATGTGGTCGCCCAGCCGTTGTGAAAACCATGTGGGAAGAGGGTAAGAACCAGGAGAGGGAGGAGCAGGATGAGGAGGAGGAGGAGGAGGAAGAGGCGGACGAGGAGGTGGCCCCTTGGGTTTGGGCTGTCTCGGGGCCATCTTGGCCATCTTACCAGACTCAGAGGTCATCTGGGCCGTCTTGGAGGGCATCCTGGACCGTGTTGGGAACTTCTTGGGTCCATCTTGGAGGCCTCGTGGGCCGTCGAAGGCTGTCGGACGCCCTCGAGAGCGAGGGCGCCAAAACCATTGAAGAATTCCATAAAGGTACAATTACGTGTGCATCTTGGGGGTCCTGTTTGAGGCTTCTTAGGGCGTTTCAGAGGCCTCTTGAGCAGTCCAGGAGGCCATCTTGGACGTATCGAATGCGATTTGTTCCCGATGTTATTGTATGCTGTGGGTGGCGGCGGTTTGGGCCGAAGGCGATTGTGATTTTGCTTGAAGGGCTAAAATGTGTATAGACGTAGCACCCCGCAGTTGCGGATAAGAGCAGTTGCTGGAATTGGCAGCGCTGCGGAGATAGAGATGGCCCGGGGACGAATGCCCACCAGAGCCCTCGAGAACGGCCTCCGCCTCAGCCCCCCCCTCATTAAAAAGAATTCAGAAGGGAGGGCGGCCGCGTCCCATGCGTAAGGATCACGAGACGGGAGGAAGTTAAGGTGGACGTCGATCCATCAGCAAGTAGCAACGACGGGGGAGGCCCCGAGGGGCGCAAGGGCGAGCAGGGGGCCACGCAAAGCAGCGAGAGGCGATCGGCGCACGCCCCAACTTGAACTTCCGCAAGCGGGAGCGGGGAGCGCACCGTTCACCAACCCGCCGCAAGGAATAGCCCCCCGAGGGGAGGAGGAGACGCCAGCGGCGGAGGAGGAGCGGGAAAGGCGAGAGGAGCGGAGCGGCGAGGTCGTCGGCAGTCTGCGAGGCTCTGAAGAAGCCAGCCGAAGGCGCCGAATTGTACCCCAGGCTGTGCTTGCACTTGGGATTTCTCATTTCTGTTCTAGGGAACTGGGCCGTGTCTTCTGTCTGGCGGCTATGTGGCCGCCGTCGCCGCCCCGTCGCCGCCCGTCGTCTGGGCCGTGTCTTCGGTCTGGCGGCTATATGGCCGCCGTTGCCGCCCCGTCGCCGCCTCGTCGCCGCCGGTCGTCCGGGCCTGTCTGCCTCCATGGCGGCTATGTAGCCGCCGTCGCCGCCCCGTCGCCGCTTCGTCGCCGCCCGTCGTCTGGGCCTGTCTTCCGCTCTGGCTACTATGTTGCCGCCGTCGCCCGCACTGCACCACATAGATTCGCCTTCCTGAAAACAGAAAAGGATGTACCCCCCCCCCCCTGGCGTTATCAATCCGCCTTTCGGGTATGTAAATCATTTATGATTCTGACCACATGTCCATCCTAAATATGAATTTACACTATCCCAAGGGGGCCGGTATCCCCCCCTGAGGTTCCCTTTGTAAAAAACACTATGCGGTGACATTTTTGCTCTAACATAGCACTTTTTCGCGAATCCCTTGCAACAAATGGGACGAAGTGCACACGCGCGCGTCGTCGCGCGCGCACGCCGAAATCCTTCAAAAACCTTCGGTGCCGGAAGGATTTCGCAATCGAGTTTCCAAACAACATACAAAAACACAGGGTTTCGCAACACTGATTTGCTAAAAAAGCTTCCGCGCGAGCTCTTGCGAAATCTTAAGAAAACCATAGGTTTTTCAAGATTTTCACAAAATGCTATTAAACGGGCTTCGCGCGCGCGCATGTCGAAATCTGTTGAACGCCCTTGCGCGTGTGCCGTCGCGAGAATCCTCTGCAAAAAATGGGACGAAGTGCAGACGCGCGCGTCGTCGCGCGCGTAGGCCGAAAAACTTCAAAACCCATAGGTTTCGGAAGGATTTCAAAATCGTGTCTCCAAAAACCTACGACAACCCACGGTTTCGCAACACGGATTTTCAACAAAAGCGTGCGCGCGCTTTTGCGTCGTCGTCGTCGTCGTCGTCGTCGTCCTCCCTCCTCCCGCGTCGTCGTCGTCGTCGTCGCCTACGTCGTCCTCTGTCTTTCCTCGTGTTCGTCGTCGTCGTCCTCTTTGGCGTCGTGGTCGTTTCCGTCGTCGTTGTCGCCGTGGTCGTCCTTCCTCCTCCTCCCTCGTCGTCGTCGTCGTCCGTCGTCGGCGTCTCGTCGTCGTCCCTCCTATTTCGTCGCCGTCGTCGTCGTCGTCGTTGTCGTCGTCGTCGTCTTCCCTCCTCCCTCGTCGTTGTCGTCGTCGGCGTCGCCGTCCTTCCTCCTTCTTCGTCGTTTGCGTCGTCGCCGTCCTCCCTCCTCCCTCGTCGTTGTCGTCGTTGTCGTCGTTGTCGCCGTCGTCGTCCTCCCTCCTCCCTCGTCGTCGTCTTCGTTGGCGACGTCGTCGTCGTCTTCGTCGTCGTCGTCGGCGTCGGCGTCGTCGTCGTCGTCGTCGGTGTCGTCGTTGTCGCCGCCGTTGTCGTCGTCGCCGTCGTCGGCGTCGTTGACGTCGTCGTCGTCGTCGTCGTCGTCGTGGTCGTCGTTGTCGTCGTCGTTGTCATCGTCGTCGTCGTCGTCGTCGTCGTCGGTGTCGTCGTCGGCGTCGTCGAAGTCGTTGGAGACGCCGTCGTCGTAGTCGTTGTCGGCGGCGTCGTCGTCGTCGTTGTCGCTGTCGTCGTCGGCGTCGCTGTCGTTGCCAAGTGCCATTTGGTACCCACCGTCACGATCTTAAGAGATTTTGCAAGCCAAGTTGCGGGTGGGTGGGTGGGATGTTTGCGCGAGCAGTGGAGTGGACAACTCATTGCGAACAGCAATGAACTGCACAACATAGATCGCACCATACACCCATATATATATATATATATGTATATGCATGTATACATACATATATGCATATTCATACATATATATGTATACATGCATACATACATGCATGCATGCATACATACAAACAAACAAACAAGCAGATAACACTCGCTCTACGAGGCGCCCGAGAAGCATGTACCAGGGATCCTCTGGCCCAAAACTCAGGTACAGTAACGGTATGGACCGAAAGCCATAGATAAGTAAGTAGTTGCCATGCGACGCTGCCCATTGGTGCCATAGGTGGAGCTCCCTCCGGGGCATGGTTCGCGTGACGGGTCTGCCGACATGGGCGGGGGAGCGCTGAACGATTCTTGTCTCTGGGCCTTTGGGTGGCGTTCCTTGTGGGCACAGTCCGCGTGATGGGGTGTGTCGCAATGACCAGGGGGGCGCAGTGCGAACCTTGCCTTTGGGTCCGTAGGTGGAGATCCCTCTGGGCCATGATCCGTGTGCAAGGTGTGCCGAAGTAGACGACAGGGCGGGATGCGAACTTTGGGTGCCGGGCCGTCCGTGGAACCCCTTGCGGGCCACGATCCGTTTGAGAGGTGTGCCGAAGTGAGTGGGGCGACGCTGTAGAGCTTCATTCTTGTACCACAAATGCAGCTATTTGCGCGGCGCGATCCGCGTGAGGGGCGTGCCACTATGCGAGCTTTGGCTCTGGGAACGAAGGTGGAGCTCCATGTGGGGCGCGATCCTTGTGATGGGGACAAGGGCGAGGGAGCGCCAGCCTCTGGGGCCGCAGGATGCGAGAGCCACGTTTTGGACACGGACCGCTCTCCACCGTGAAATTTTTGCAACCTGTAACCGAGTGTGCGAGGCGCTGAAGCTATAACCACATTTTGAAAAGGAACCGCCGTCCATCTGCAGAGCTGATTTTCATGACGAGTGTGCGCTACGCTAAGGCGAGAGCCACATTTTGAGAACGGCACGCCCTCCATCCGTGAAGCTCTTGCAGATTTTAAAGACGAGTGTGCGCCGCTAAGGCGAGAATCACATTTTGAAAACTGCCCGCTCTCCATCAGTAGAACTCGTGCAATGTTTTAATACGAATGTGCGCGGCGCTGGACTAGAGCCAGCCACATATTGAAATCGGCCCGCCCTCCATCCGTGAAATATTTTCAACTGCACAACAGCAGGAACGTAAATGGCCAGGAAGTCTCAGGCAAAACGCCCGGCCCACCCTTTCGAGCGGAGGAGGACGAGGAGGAGGAGGAGGAGGAGGAGGAGGAGGAGGAGGCCTCTCGACGGCTTCTTGGGGCACTGGGGACCAAACTGGATCGCGGACAAGACGCCTCTTTTTGGAAGGCTTTTTCGGGAGGCCGTTCGGGAGCCTCTTGGGGGCCCCTGTGGGGCATCCTTTTGGGTTTCAGGGTGTTTGTTGAGGGCTTCTTGGGGGCGTGCTTGCCGTCTGGGAGGCCAAATTTTGTGGAAGGCGCGCTATGTCTGGTTGTTCGGGTTTCCCCCTCCTGAGACCCTCTGGATTCGTATGAGGAGACCTCTTTGACAGTCTTGGGACACACTGGGCTGCCTTGGGGACGTCTTTGGAGCATCTTGGGCTGAATCGGGGCGATCTTGAAGGCCTCCTGGGCCGTCCTGGGCAGTCGGAAGTTTGAAAAGGCGGTAACCCAAAACCTTTCAAACACCGAAGCAACATCAATGACAACTGCCTCTTCGGGCACTCTTGGGGTCGTCTTGGAGCGAGTCGTGGGAGTCTAGGGAGTACAGCGTCCAGGGGATCGGTCCATGGCGCCCAGGGAGACCAAGGGGGTCCAGAGAGTCCAATGAGCCCAAGGAGTCCATCCCGGGATTCCAGGAGTCCAGGAGAGCTGATGGTTATTAGTTGTAGTATTCACAAGTTTCCGCAGCGGCGCATGGGTTGTAGGTCAGAGGCCCCTTGGATGCCGCACGGGGGCCTCTCGGGGACTTCTTGGGGCCTGATTTGGGCCTATTGGGGCCTCATAGGGGCTTCTTGGGGGGCTTCTGGGGGGCTTCTTGAGGGCCTGCTGGCGGTCTCGGGGGCTATCTTGGGGCGGAGGGCGCGCGATGTTGGTTCGAATTCCCCTTCTCGAGGCCGTCTTAGGAGTCATCTTGGGGCCCCGTTGTGCCGCCAGGGGGC